AGGAGAGAATGAGGAGTCCGCTGCCTGCTGCATTTCAGCTTTCTCATTCAACCCGAATGCACAGGCAGACGACACTGCGAGCAGTGCCGACGGGCGATCATCGGCGAAACATTGTGGAAACTTTGAAAAAAATACCACTAAACAGAAGGAAATGACGAGTTTAAATATTAAATAAAAATAAAATTCAGATAAAATGCATAGAAAAACCTACAGACAGGCGCAGCGGCATCGAAAGCTGAACTGTGGTGGTTAGCCTCGGCTGGCTGGGGCCCTCTGAAAACAGGGCTTCGAGACGGCGACGAAGGCGATGCAAATGCAGCAAAAAAATAAAAATAAAATTCTTTTTATCTTTTTAATTAATTTAATTCAAAAGATATTTACTGCATATACAGCTGAGACGAACAAATCCACTGTGTCAACCCAAATTCAACTTCGCCGCATCTTCCGTTCGTTCGCTGTGGGGTTGCACGATGGGTTAATTTGCATTTTATTTTCGCTGAATATTTATAGAAGATTAATTAAAATTATGTTTTCAAAGAAATTTCGCAGAAATACCAGGAAAAGCTCGCATCAGTTGCGCTGATTTCGAGTAGCCACCTCTGCATGTATTGAATGGAGAGAAGAGGAAACGTTGGGTTTCCTTCGCCGGCGTTCTTGATTAGTTTATTAGAGAATTTTATTTGTATTTCTTTGCATATTCACGGCTAAATACCAATCAGAAGACTGAAAGTTAAACCTGAACAGCGCGAGCAACCCCAACCCAACCCGCTGCTGTATTCAAGATGAGGCTGCAGGCGGACGTGTTGCGGTATATGACGAAGGGGGAGTTTCGTGTATTGACGGCAGTGGAGATGGGTATGAAGAACCACGAGTTTGTATCGGCTCAGTTGATAGAACAAATAGCGGGTTTGCGGCGTCACTCAATTCGCCAGATTCTGAGTATTCTGCTGAAAAATAAACTTCTCTATCACTGCTCCAAGGTGTATGATGGCTATAAACTAACTTACTTAGGTTACGACTACCTCGCCCTCAACGCTCTGGTTAAGAGGGGCCTCGTCAAGGGCGTTGGCGTCCGCATAGGTGTAGGAAAGGAATCAGATATTCATCTCTGCGAGGGCGCAGACGGCGCCGTCTTGGTGCTGAAGCTGCATCGGCTGGGTGAGAGCTCTTGAGATATTCACCTGTGCAGTGTAGCGGGGGTTAAGTAGAGAGAAACGCAGCACAGTATTCTTTTTTCTTTTGCATGCTTTCTG